CGGGGTTTTACAAGACAGTGAGTAAGGGTCCAGCTACGCATAAGCAGCCCAAATACCTGACCTTGAACTTACCTCCCTTCTGGCTGAAGGCAGGAATTTCAAAATCTAACTCTGGAATCCTTGTGGTGGCCGAGTCCGTCTTCACCACTTCCCGGTTCATGTCCTGGTCAGAGAGAAGCAGGTGCAGGCCAGAGAGGTCAGAGGTCAGAGGCCAGCAGTGCCCCCCCAGGGAAGGCCAGGCTGCCCTCCATCAGACCCCTGCTGCCCACGTGGGGCGAGTTCCCCGCCTAAGTCCTGCTCACGTGGCGCCTTCTCAACAATGTACAAAGCCCCTGCACACGCCCCACCTGGTCGGCCTCCCACCTGGTCAGCCTCGGCACCCCTTCGTTTCTAAGGAGACAGGGAGGCGTGGACACGCAGGGGATTCACTCCGCCGGGCCCGCCGCCCGCCCCGCGCCAGGCTCTCACCTCGGCCGCCCGGACCGTCAGCGTGTAGCGCACGCCCTGGTCCTGGATCCTGCCCGCCGACTGGACCTCCGTGTTGTTCCAGCCGCAGTGCTCGCAGGAGAAGGAGCTGACGATCACCTCTCTGAAGAAGGGGATCGTGGTGAGCAGCAGGCGCGTCACGCCCTGGGGAAGCAGAAAGCCAAGGAGAGAACCAGTGAACCCAGCTCCCCACCTGGCGACCCCGAGGGGCCTCACCCCCGGTGCCCCCGCGGCCCTCCCGCCCGCCCGCGCCTCACGTCGCGGTAGCAGTTCATGCACAGCGACTCGATCTCCGTGGGCTGCTGGCCCTCGTCCTCGGCGCTGAAGGGCCGGAACACGCGCGCCGGGGCCGGGGCGGGCGAGGGCGCGGCCGCAGCCCCCGGGGGCCCCGGCTCCACCGTCCCGCCGGCCGACATCGCTCCACGCGCAGCGTCGCCGCGGCTTCCGGCTCCTGGCCTCCCGTGGCCCCGCCCCTTCCGGCGGCACTTCCCTCCGCGGCCGCCCCGCCCTTTCGTAGGGAGGTGGCCCACTCTGGGCCCCACCCCCCTTTTTTTTTTAGATTTTTCAATTGATTTTTTTTTTAGTTTCTATCCAAATCCAGTAATTATTTTTTAATCCAATAATTATGAACACTTTTGCCACATTTGTCACTACACACACACAATTATTTTAACAGTAAGTTGCACCCTAGCTGGTTTGGCTCACTGCATAGAGGATTGGCCTGCTGACTTAGGGTCCCGGTTCTATTCTGGCCAAGGGCATATGCCTGGGTTCCGGGCTCGTTCCCCAGTAGGGGGCATGCAGGAGGCAGCCAATCAATGATACTTTCTCATCATTGATGTTTTTATCTCTCTCTCTCCCTTCCTCTCTAAAATCAATAAAAAAAATTTTTTTTAAAGAGTAAGTTGCAGCACTAGCTGGTTTGACTCAGTGGATACCAGCATTGGTCTGCAGACTTAGGGTCCTGGTTCGATTCCAGTCAAGGGCACATGCACAGGTTGTGGGCTCGATCCCCAGTGTGGGGCCTGCAGGAGGCAGCTGATCCATGATTCTATCTCATCATTGACGTTTCTCTCTCTCTCTCTCCCTCTCTAAAATCAATAAAAATATATTTTTAAAAAACAGTAAGGTGCAGACAATAATATCTATACCTTTGAATACTTCAGAATATATTCCCAACACACATGCTGGGAGAAGAAGAATCTTTTCTTACATATCCAAACTATGATTACCAAATACAGGATATTTAACATTGATACAGTACTATTATCTATACTAGAGGCCTGGTGCATGAAAATCATGCACTGGGGGGTTGGGGGGGTGTCCCTCAGCCCAGCCTGCACCCTCTCCAATCTGGGATCCCCTGGGGATGTACAATTGCCAGTTTAGGCCCAGTCAGACATCCCTCTCACAATCCAGGACTGCTGGCTCCTAACCGCTCGCCTGCCTGCCTGCCTGATTTCCCCTAACTGCTTCTGCCTGCCTGCCTGATCACCCCCTAACCCAGCCGTGGGCAAACTACGGCCCGCGAGCCGTGGGCAAACTATGGCCAAATGAATAAAACTAAAAAAAAAAATGAATAAAACTAAAAAAAATGATGTTCACTTTGAATTTATATTAGTTCACACAAACACTCCATCCATGCTTTTGTTCCGGCCCTCCGTCCATTCTTTTGTTCCGGCCCTCGCCCTCGAGTCAAAAAGTTTGCCCACCCCTGCCCTAACCACTCCCCAGTTTGCCCACCCCTGCCCTAACCACTCCCCTGCCAGCCTGATAGATGCCTAACTGCTCCCCTGCCAGCCCGATTGCCCCCAACTGCCCTCCCCTGCAGGCCATCTTGTGATGACATGGGGGTAGCCATCTTGTGACCACATGGGGCGGCCATCTTGTGCAAGGGTGTGATGGTCAATTTGCATATTACCACTTTATTATATAGGACTAGAGGCCTGGTGCACGAATTTGTGCACAGGTCCAGTCCTTCTGCCTGGCTAGAGATCAGGGCCAATTGGGGCCTATCGGGGAAGACCGGCAGGGGGAGGGACCACGGGAGGTTTGCTTTGGGAGTGCACTGACCACCAGGGGGCAGCTCCTGCATTGATCGTCTGCCCCTTGGTGGTCAGTGCACGTCATAGCTACCGGCCAGTCATCTGGTCGTCTGTTCATAACGGTCGCTTAGGCTTATATATATAGATACAGTCTGTATTCAAATTCCACATCTTGTCCCTCTGATGTTCTCCATGGCAACTCTTTCTCCAATCCAGGATCTGATTCAGGACCAGGCATTGCCCCTAGTTCTCAGGTCTCTGGTTTCCTTCAACCTGGAAGTCCCTCAGTCTGTCTTTGTGTCTTATGACATTGGCATTTTTGAAGAGTACAGGTAATTTGGGTTTATCTGATGTGTTTTTTTTTTAGTTTTTTATTATTTATTTATTTATTTTAAATAATTCTTTATTGTTGAAAAGTATTACATATGTCACCTTTTTCCCCCCTTTAACCCCTTACAGCCAACCCCCGCCCCACCCCCACCCCAGGCCTTCACAAGAAGGGAGAGGGAAGAGAAACATCAATGTGAGGATGTGAGACTGAACACTGATGGGCTGCCTCCTGCACACCCACCAGGGATCCAGCCAGCAAAGGCAGGCTTTCAGTTCACCGGCCTACGCCCAAGCAGCTGAGCCACCCTGACCAGGCAACTCTGGGCCCTTAGAGAGCAGTACGGGGCTTCCCTGTTGCCAGGATTATATGACCCAAACTTCCATAGCCGGATTCAGGCTTTGCCTCTACCTCAGTTCAGGTGTCACTTCACCAGGACATCCTCCCAGAGCCAGGGCAGTGTTCGCTCCGTCACAGTGTCTCCATCGCACAGGGTTCTAACTATTGGCCACAGTGTTTGACCACAAGAACCAGGCCTCTTGCCGACATCCTGGGCTTCCTTCGATCCACTGTTGGACCAGGTGATGCTGCGGCTCTAGTCCCTCAGTCCCTCTCTCCCTTTCTGTTTTTCTCACTCCCTATTTCTGTCCTCATAAACACCTGCCCAAATTCCAGCCTCAAATACACAACCCTCAGTTTTAGTTCCACCCCTTCATCCCTACCACATCTGCTCCCTCTGACTACCCTTCCCAGTTTCCTAACAGCAAAAACACCTTTTATTTGGAGGGAGGGGGGTAAACTTTCCTTTCCAGCACCTCCTCTCCCTGGGTACCGCTCTCAGTTCTGTTGCTAAATCCAGATGTCTGGGTAGAGATCTAGGCTGCGGCATGATGCAGCCAGCTTCATGTGGGGTCTGTGTTAGGAGGAGTGTGGAGGTACAGGGCCAACTGAGCTGGACTGAAAGGGCGCTGGAAGGGGCGTGCTTACCCTGCCCACTACCCCCCCACTTCACCTACCCCCAGCTTCAGGGTTCTCAGAGGACCTATGAGGAGCTTCATTGCCTCCAAGTGAATCTATATGTGGGGACTGGGGGGTTTAAGAGTTTGGGGTTCCCAAGAAGAGGGCCAGTGTCATAAAAAGGGGCCATTCAAAATCTGGAACAGCAGGAACAAAAGGGAGAGGCCACCTCAGGAGCCTGCAGGTGAGGCACACTGTCCTGTGCCAAGCCGGCCCGAGAACGATGCAGGTGCAGAGGAAGGTCGCTAGCCCCACGCCCACCCCCAGGCCAACACAGCTCTCCCCTAAAGCAGAGCACAGCCAGGCCCAGGCCCCTCTGGCAGACTCGCACTGAAAGGGGGTCCCTGAGAAAGTACAGCAGGGGCCTGGAGTGGCCGATGGTGTGATTTGGGGATAGTGGTGAGGGCACTGCTCTCAGACATGGTCCGAATGAGAGTCACACCAGGCAGACCAGTTTCCATTATAAACATCTATTTCAATGGAGTCAGAAGTCTAGGCTTCAGTCTGAGCGTCAGAGATGGGGAGGGCACCTCGTAGACTCCCCAGAGGGTTTAGGAAGCCCCCACAGTTTGGAGGCGTGGGCAGCTGTTTAAAAGCAGAGCTATGTAAGAAAATATGGGCCCTGCTCCCTCCCATTACAACTCCCACCATTTGTACCCACCAGCATCAGAGCGCGCAGGGATACACACACACACAGTCACATGCTCTCTCCTCACATTCTCCTCCTTTCTCCCTTCTCTCCAACAGAAGCTGTCGTGGCAGCCCTGGGGAGAGGAGCTGCTCTCCGGACAGCTGCAGTAGTGGCCACCAGGGGGCCAGAGTGGTTGCAGCCAAGCCCGGGCCTGAAGAGACAGGCTTCCAGCACCATGGCCACGGGCTGGCACTTAATTTCCCCGCATAGAGCGCCTGTCTCCCTTCCCACTCCCGCCAGCACCGAATGGGGCAACTCGGGAGGACTCCCAAATGAGCACGGGAAGCCAGGTTCGCAAATCCTGGTGAGTGTAATGCATCTGGGTTGGGGACTCACTCGCAGGAGGCTGGGTAGGCAAGGGACAACTGCCCCTTCGGTGGCCTCACCCATCCTGCAGGGCCCTCCACCCTCTGCCCAGTAGGCCACTGTCGAGGACTGAACCATGCTTGGGGCTCCCTGAACAAGGAGCTGGGAAGTGGGCCCGGACAAACAGGCCCTCAGGGCTCCCCTCCATGGCCCAGATCATGGTCACGAAGGCTGTAGTTTATGTCTTCCCACAGGTCGTCCAGACGGGCCTGCAGCCTGCTCCGGGCCTTGCCGCTGTCCGCGGGGAGGAACTCGGGGGCGAAGGCGCTGTGGCTCGGTGGGGGCGGCGCCAGCTGCTGCTGGACCTCCTCCGTCTCCTGGTCGATGGCGCGGGTGAAGGCGGCGATCTGCAGGAAAGTGTCGTGGCGGAAAGCCTGCAGGCGCTGGCGCACCTCCTGGGACAGCGCCTGGGGGTCCGGGTGGGCCCCTTCCCCGCCCGTTCGGGCATAGGCGCTGAGCTCTTCGCGCAGATGGTCCAGGTTCTGTTGGATGCCCGCGTGCAGGGCCTTGGCCTTGAGCGTGAGCTTGTGCGAGAGCAGCTGCACGCAGCGGCTGAGGCGCGCGGGGCTGGCCACGGTGTGCGGGGCCACGCTGCGGTGTAGCTCCTGCACGTGCTGCCCGATGCCGCTCACCAGGCGCTCGGCGTACGGGTGGAACAGCTGCTTGACGCGGCCGGTGTGGTGCACCAGGCTGCTCTGCATCTCCTGCAGCAGGTTCCTCCACCTCGACCACGCCGACCAACAGCTGGGCCTTAGGTGTCCTCCCCGACCAGGGGCAGGTGCGTGCTGCTGTTCTGCACTCGCAAGGGCACCTGCTCCCTGAAGGAACCTTGTTTAGAGGTCCTCAGCTTCGTGAGAGACGTGGGGAGTTTTAAGCAAGCACTCTGCAACACCTCCCTATCCGAGTAAGGCACTACCTGATGTCGGGAAGAGGTGAG